GTGAATGTCCCATTGTACAAATCAGACTCTGGACAAGTTAGTAGAGTCCGTGAGCTAGGCTGGTTAGAGGATTCTGGGAGCTGTAGTCGAAAACAGTAGAATTTTCAAGCTGGTCAAGATTACAAAACATGAATTTACAAATACAATCCTAATATACACAACAGCAGTGAAAGCTAAGCACCACATACGACAGCGCTCGTACAGACCTGAACAACTGTGTCTTCTGTTTTGTCTTGTGGATAGCCCAGTGAACTTTTGAATCGCTCAGTGGTTTAGGCCTCTGGCTGAAGAGCTTACAATCCTAATACATATACACAACAGCAGTGAAAGCTAAGCACCACATACGACAGCGCTCGTACAGACCTGAACAACTGTGTCATCTGTTTTGTCTTGTGGATAGCTCAGTGAACTTTTGAATAGCTCAGTGGTTTAGGCCTCTGGTTCGATGATGAAAAGTATGTTGAAATGTGGTTTGCAGATCTCCTTGAGTGAGGACTTTCAAACACACATTTCAAATCTCATCCCTAAATCTCTCAGTTTAATAGGTTTCCATGATGCCCAGAGATCAGACGATTTCCTCTGCTAATCTTAATATCTGAGCAGGGCAAGACAAGTATAAGCTATGCTTTAGATATTGACAGGATCTATTCTTAGTTAATACAACACACCAAAACATTTTATTGCTTATTTTTGAAGCATCTGACCTTTTCTAAGCCCTGTAGATTTTTTTTTAAAAAAATAGAACTTGGAGAGTGAAGTCAACACTCTTTGGTGTGGGCTTTGGAAAAGTTCTTTTTCAATTATCTGTCCAAGAATTCCCCCCAGTTAGTGGCCATATTTGCTACTTTAGCCCTAAAAAAATAACTTTTCTGGATTAGGTCAATGGTTTAGGTCTCTGGCTGCAGAGCCGGAGGTTGGGAGTTTGATTCCCCCACTGTGCCTCCTTGAGAGGGGCTGGATTTGATGATCCAGAGGGTCCCCTTTGATGATGGTGATGATAATGACAATGGTCTCTGCCTACAAGCTCACAACTTAATAAATATGTTATAAAAATGAAATGGAGTTGGAAGCAAAGCATAAAACAAGCCATGCAGTTTTATCTGGCTTAACCAGCATAGTTTATGGGGGAAGAATGCAGGAAACTGCAGGGTAACAGTGCCACAGACTAACTATGACGTGGTATTTGCTTGCCAGCAACACTAATGGAGAAAAGAGAAGCATGGGGGCATCAGCATGGAATGAATCAAAAATGGCAGATGCGGCTTTCAGTGCCAGGTTAGTACAAACTGTATTTCCTTGTCCCCTCCCTATTATGGGAATGCAGCTAATATAGTACAGTGGGTTGAAGACTGGAATCCCATTGCACTTCCTGGGAGAGGGACCGGCCAAGGTCAGCTAGAGCATCTTAAATGTCTTGCCACCTGCGTCGCCTTGGCCAAGCTGCACAGTCCCAGGCAACCGCTAGATGGAGAAACTGGTACACCTCTTCTGAGCACTTTCTACCTAGAAAACCCTATGCGGGTCCAAATGAGTATAACAGTAAATATATGGTGGAGATCATGATGGAAACCCGGAATTGGGGAAACGCTTTGGTGGTTTGTCCTAGAAGGCACACTGCTAACTGCTTTTTTTCTCCACCTGGGGGTGGACCAGAAAAATCGAAGGGGGGGGGGACGAGTTCCTTGGTTTTCATACCCTGACCATTTCCGAAGCTCACAAGACGCTGTTCCTGGGAAATTCTATTTTTCCATTCCTAGGAAGATTGGGACTAAGCTCAGAGAGAGGAACAGGGCAGAGATGGTAAATTATGTCCTACTAACTTTTTTTTTTTTAAAAAAAATCCCAGTGTGCCAGCCCTACGAGACCTGGTTCCATTACAACACTGCCACCAGCCTATACCCAATTTTCCATTAGAAAAAATGGATGCTGGATCAGGTTGAGTCCACGCTGTCCAAAACTTAGAAGGATGTGTCATCATTAAATATCGCAATGGATGCTACCTTGTTAGATCCTAAGGACCTTAATGCTGGGGTCAAATATATCAGTGCTGTATAGTGATAGCTGTTTGATACCCCTTTAACTGTCATGCCTCTGTCTTGTGGAATCCTGGGATCTGTAGCTTTCTGAGATAGATGGAATTTTCTGCTGAAGTTCAGGGAGATGCACAAGAGCGCTCTAGCACAGAATTCAAAGCACCTCAGCAAACCTTCAAGGAGAAAGGTGGGGTAAAGATAAATAAATAAATAAACTACAACCCCCTAAATTCTTTGGGATGGATCCATGAGAGCTAAAGTGATGTCAGCTCCTTTTTAAGTATGTCTCTGTTCATGGATTTACTTTCCCATAGTGGCCAATTAGATGCGTTGAAGGCAATACTTCACTTCTGTTCTAACTCCCTCTAGTCTGCAGGCGTCTGTCCTGTTTCCCCAGGGCCGCCTCGAGATGTTTTCCTACCTCAGGCAAAGGGCAGGAAGTTGAGCCCCAGTTCTTTCATGGAAAGAGAACAACCATGAAACTTTTTTAAAAAAATGCTTTTGATGATATAGTCTTTTCTTGAGGTCAACCAACTAGCTTGAAGGGGTACATACCAACTTACTTACACTGTGGAGCTGTGGCAGCAGGGGGAAGCGGGCGAGAGGTGGAAGGAAATCTACATGCTTTTGCAATCTTTGGAAAGCAGAGACTGGAAAAAGTTCATATTTTTTTTCCATACCCGCCACCAGAATTCCTCCGCCAGGTTGCAGAAGCTGGATCGATTCTGGGATTTGGAAGACAGAAAAGTAACCCTTCTGCACTCTGTCTGGCTCCTGTTGCTAAGAAATCTTGCTCTTTTCTTTATTCCTCTTTTACAGCGTTGACACCAGCAGCAGCAGGAGGAGCCAAGCCTCCCAGCCCTATGAGGAGAGCTCATCTGCACTCAACCCGTTGGGTTCCCCAATGGCCAGGTAGAGCAACGCACAATGAACTCACGGATTCTCAGTCCGTAGCATCCTTCTGTCAAAGGACCTCAATCCCGCCATGTTAGAAACCCAAGAAGGACATTTGTTGTATCTTATCAATTCAAAGGACGTTTCAAGGTCATAAAAATTGCAGCAGTGTCATTGAGAGTAACATACATCAGCAAGCGTAATTTGCTATTTCTCATTAAATTTCGTAATTATAGTATTAAACACGACCGCTGCTCCTATGCTAACTGTAAAACACCGAGATAGTAAATAGAGGTATTGCAGAGAATATGACAAAACTGAGCAATACCTTGGGGCTTTTTAAAGAGAAACGCAAGGTGAAAACATTAAATACATATTAATTTCTTCCACTTTCATTACTTAGTGAGAAGCACGATAGAAACTTCAACGCCACGACCGGTACTGAAACACGAAGAGTCCTTTTTTCTGATGACAGGTAAATGTCCAAGGATAATATTGCTTCCAACACCACACTTCCCTGTTGCCTTAGGGTGGAAGAGAAATTGATCTGGCCCAAAGAGGTATACTGATTCGTCCAATTAACCCCTTGCAAAGTGATACATGACCTGGGCCATACTTATGTGGTGAAAATCCAATTAACCCCTCGCATGACCTGGGCCATACTTATGTGGTGAAATCAGCAGTTTCTGGAGCTTTTGATCTGGTTCCAAAGGCATGAATGGAAGTATGTGTACTAAGGAAAAGTGTACACAGAAATGTATATGTTACGGAAAAGTAGAGCAGCTGAATAGCTCAGGGCTTTAGGCATCTGACTGCAGAGCCTGAGGTTGGGAGTTTAACCCCTCGCATGACCTGGGCCATACTTATGTGGTGAAATCAGCAGTTTCTGGAGCTTTTGATCTGGTTCCAAAGGCATGAATGGAAGTATGTGTACTAAGGAAAAGTGTACACAGAAATGTATATGTTACGGAAAAGTAGAGCAGCTGAATAGCTCAGGGCTTTAGGCATCTGACTGCAGAGCCTGAGGTTGGGAGTTTGATTCTACAGATAGTTCAAGGGTTTAGGCATCTGACTGCAGAGCCCGAAGTTGGGAGTTTGATTCTACACTGTGCCTCCAGGGAAAAGAGTCAGCCTGTGCAGCCTTGGGCAAGCTGCAAAGTCCCAGGACAGACGCCCTCAGAAGAAGTAAATAAGTGTTGACTCACTGGAATCCTACAGATGCAATTGATTGTTATTCTATTGGACTACAGTGGTGCCTCGCTAGACGATGATAATCCGTTCCACTGAAATCGCTCTTTAGCGAAATCATCATCTAGCGAAAAGCATTTCCCCATTGGAATGCATTGAAACCTGTTTAATGCGTTCCAATGGGGAAGAATCGTCGTTGTCTAGCGAAGATCGGCCATAGGAAAGCCGCTTTGCAAACCGCCAATCAGCTGTTTAAATCACTATCTTGTGAAGCTTAGTCCTGAAAACACCTGATTTGCGAGCGCGGAGGGAGCTGTCAAAATCGTTGTCTAGCGAAAATCGGTTTGCAAAGCAGGGACCAAACATTGTCCAGCGAAATTCCCCCATAGGAATCACTGTTTTGCGAATCACTATAGCAATCGCAAAAAGTCAATGTCTTGTGAAAAAACTGTCATGTGGGGTAACTGTCTAGCGAGGCACCACTGTATTCAGTTTGGGATTAAGAACTGCATCTAGGCCATTATGTTAGAGGAAATGCTTATGAATGGTGCACATGCTAGGAAATGTGTGAAGAAAAGCACATCTGTTTGGAGAAATGTGTGTGAAAAGGTGTACAAATACTCATGTGTACCTTTGTGTTGCTGAATTCACAAACTGATCCAAACCTGGGAAATAAGAACAGTGAAATGAACAGATTATTCCATTCGTCATGTGTGAAGAATTGGGATTGTAGAGTTTCTTGATCCCAAAATAATAGAAAGCTGGTTGCAAAAAGCCAGCGAGAATTGGTTGTTTTCGTATTAACTGGACTGTTTTGTTTTTGTTTCCATGCACAGCTGGGAAGCAGGAAAGCTAAGAGGTGGAATGGACAGTCAGCCATCTGATGTTCCTTACATTGTCATATCCCCAGAAGGAAAGCCAAAGAAGTAAGGATGGAGCCATGTGTCTGGTAGTGCAAACTAAAACTAGACCAGCCAAAGGACACAAAATTGCATAAAACGTTTTCAGATTGCCAGATCTCCACTTCATTAGTCAAGTAATTCCGAGAACAGTTGGGAGGGGACTAAAATAATCTGACCTACCGTGTTTCCCCCAAAATAAGACAGGGTCTTATATTAATTTTTGCTCCAAAAATGCATTAGGGCTTATTTTCAGGTGATGTTTTATCTTTTTCATGTGCAATGATCTACATTGATTCAAATACAGTCCTGTCCTCTTCTTCTGGTTGCTGCACAAAGGTGGAGGGCAGGGTTTCCCTTCACTGGGGCTTATTTTTGGGGTAGGGCTTATATGAGGAGTATCCTGAAAAATCATACTAGGGCTTATTTTCAGGTTAGGCCTTATTTTCAGGGAAATGGGGTAATATTGAAATCTGCTTTATGTCCAGAGAAGGAATGCCACATTGAGGAACTAGCTTGCCCTGTTGTACGTCCAGCTGGCCGGACTTCCTCACAAGGATTCGTTGCTTTCCCTCCAGCAGCAGGTCCACCTCCCATGATCAAAACAAGGTTGCTGACTCCACAGTAGAGACGCATCATCGGCCCGAGGTGGGGAAATCCCTTCAAGAAACAGAGTTTGGCTCCCGAAGGTAAAAGATGATAGGAAATGCTGTTTTCAAAGAAGTGGTCTGTATGGGTCTAGCCGTAGAAGGAGAACACCAATTTGGGGTTTTTTGAGATCATGATGGCGCAACTTTAGGGTTAGTCCAACTCTTGGGCAGGGTGAACCATCTACCTTAGATGGCCGATGCAGAGAAGTGGGGAGGAGTGGCAAGATATTGGCATCCGAGGGCCCAGCTGTGTGTCTCCTTTAGCTAACCTGCTTTTCTTCACAACCTACAAACGATGCTGTCCTCTTTAATTATGCAGGCAGGAGGCAGTCTCTCGACTGGCACTACACAGATGGCAAAATAAGTTCATCAGAGGCAAAAACAACAATAACAACACTTCCTATGCTTCTCCACAGAAGAGAAGGGGAAGTGTTCAATTTGCCAAAATCCTGAAGTGGCTTGTTTATTAAGCCACTTCGGGATGCCAGAAATGGACAATGGAGGGAGCCAGGCTAAATAGGGTTTCTTGAGGTTGGTATGCCATTTGGATTGAGGATTGCATCAGATGGCACATCACCCTCTGACCAAAGGTGACCTGATTTAGACCACACCAGTCCTACCCAAAAGGGACAGTGTAGCTGCAGTCCAATTCTAATTATCTCAGTTACATGAGACATACGTACCCCAACTTTTTTTTCCTGTTAGAAAAATAACACTTGGGAAATGAGTTAAATAATACTTCTCCTTCTAGAGTTCAGTGATGTAAACCTCTTGGATAATATCTCAAAAAATCTCCCAATGGTCATACTGACTAGGGGATTCTGGGAGGTTAAAGTACAAAACCATAACTGATCCAATGCCTAATGAGAAGAACTTGCTTTTTCTTGACAGACCTGTCTTGGATCACAAAGTGGAAAGTGGCCCCGGAGAATTCAAATACCAGAGCCCAGGTTCTCAAGTCACAGAGTTCTCTGAACATGAATCAGACACATCAAAGTAAGAATTATGCGTGAATGTCCCCCAAAAAATCAAAGGTAGCCGTGTTATCCTCTGGTTCACAAACAAGTAACACCTTTATGATTAGGGACCAACCACAAAGTCACAGGGAGCGAGAAAGCGTTTATGTCCTCCAGATGTTGCCAAGTTCTCCCCCCCATGTGGATGCTGGAAAATGTGGATAATAGTGAACACTATACATTGCGTGGTCTCTGCCTCCCTCTAGTGGCCAGTTCTGAAAACTTCACCTTCAGAAATATATATTTCTAGGATTTTTCTTTTTTTCTAGTTTTAATATTTTCAGTGTGGATAAGTGAATCAGTGGATGCTGTCTCTGCAGATACGGGGGTCCCTACTGTATATTAAACAAACTTGGACCGGGGTGGTGGAGAAGAACAGGCTGGATGTTAAAATCACAAAGTCTACACTGGTCATATTTTGTTAGGACTGCGTGTGGGAAGGAGCTTGGATGAAAACAGCAGCAACAAATTTAAAAAGAAGAATGGTGCTCTAACACACACCTGGCTGTCGGGGCTGGCCCTGTTGTGAGGCTCAGTCAGAGCTTGTAAAAAAGCCTCCAGCAATACAGCCCCCAATTTGTCATAATATAAAATCCAGAGGTTCCCTGGAACTCTATCTAACTTTAATTAAAGCACACAGGATCATTGTTAGGTAGTGATGGAAGACAAGATGGACAAGGTGCTTCTGTCCGCAAAGGTGTTGATTAAGTTTCTCCGGATGGTAAAGGTAAAGGTTCCCCTTGACAATTTTTGTCCAGTGGTGTTCGACTCTAGGGGGTGGTGCTCATCCCCGTTTCCAAGCCATAGAGCCAGCGTTTTGTCTGAAGACAATCTTCCGTGGTCACATGGCCGGTGCGACTTAGACACGGAACGCTGTTACCTTCCCACTGAGGTGGTCCCTATTTATCTACTTGCATTTGCATGCTTTCGAACCGCTAGGTTGGCAGGAGCTGGGACAAGCGACGGGAGCTCACTCTGTCGTGTGGATTCGATCTTACGACTGCTTGGTCTTCTGACCCTGCAGCACAGGCTTCTGTGGTTTAGCCCGCAGCGCCACCACCTCCCCGTGGTAGGCCTACAGAAATACAGTCCAGCCACATGAAAGGAGGTAAAGTTTCTGAGATGCTTGGACAGAGATTTAAATCCACAAAGAACCTCGCCGGTTTGCAGGTGCAAAGTAAAAGGGGATTGCTAGAAGGAAAAAGGTGTGTCTTCTTCATCTAACAAGGATCTTTGTTTCTGACAGGGCTCACACTTTCACCAGGGAAAACCGAGATGCTCTCCCAGGAGCGAGAGACGACGTGCCCGCCCACCTTGATAACGATGAGAACCTTGACTCGAAAAGGTATGGGGTGGGTTTGGCATCGGTCTTTCACCCATCGTCATCCTGGCTTCCAGAAGGTCTGGAACACATTTTAGCCATCTTAGGAAAAGCGCCTCATTTCATGCAAAGACATCATCCTCTTGGAGATAAGAGAGTGCCAGAAAATGCTGCGCTCAATGGCTAGCTGTCCAGGAATGGCATTGATAGCTGATCAATGAAGAGCCCTTTGATCTTGGAGGAACTGATGACATTCTCCTGGCTGCCTAGCTGTTGCCTCGATTGGCAAATTATTATGATTTTGCTTTCTCATTAGTCCACCGTTTGCATGTTCCATGTCCCAGTAGCACTGAAAGGTTTACTTGCTTGGAAGGATAATATTTTAAGATTAATAACATGAGATCTGACCCTTTGTGAGAGCGATGGAAGTTGCTTTGAGTCTATGTTGCTGATCTGGCAATACACAACTCTTTTCCTGTAAGTGAATTAGCACTCTGCTTCTGTGTCTACCCCCTGACGCGATAATGAACAGCTGGATTGAAAAGGGATTTGGGAGTGGGGGTGCAGGAATTGACAAGCTGTTTCATGAGTAGGAATACACCTAGGATGCTTGTAACCCAGGACTGGCGTTGGTCTCTTCTCCACTTGCAGGACTCTCTCTGGTTTTGAAACGAAGACCACGCAAGAGGCAGCATGCGAGGCTCCCAGTGACAATGAATACAAAAAAGTAGAGGCTTACCTGGCAAAGTAAGAAGAACTGAAATACGGATGTATTGCAGGCTGGATCCTTCCACTTGGGAGCTAGCTTCTTTCCATCCTGAACATAAACAGCCTTCCCCGATTTGGTGCCTCCAGAGGTGTTGAACTATGGTGCCCAGTATCTGGCTGGTTGGGTGGGGATGATAGCTGTTGTAGTACAACCCTTCTGAAGGGTTGCTTTTTCTTGACAGACCTTGAGGAAGACAAGGCTGGAATGCATCAGATTTGCCCACGTTTCTGTCTTCCTTTGGCCAGGTCCGGCTTGTGGTGCAGCGAAAGCAGCGTTAGCACCACCGGGACTCAGAATGAACCCCTGAGAAGTTCCAGAAGGGATGAATCAGACTTGGAGACTGCCAGGTGAGCGGTAGATCCTGTTGCAGAGTTTTGAAATTTCGTGAATCACTTTCCTCAGTTGTGCAGTGGAAGTGGAGGAATTTCTCAGAGAATAATAGCTACTAGTTCCCAGATAATGCACCCTCTCTCATTAACTGGCACGTACAGTCTCAGTGACTCACTTTGAGACATCAGTAGTAGAGCTGGGTGTGAGCTGCCTGATTTGACAGTTCACACCAGTTTGTCCAGTGCTCAGCGTTTCCCAGCCCCATTTCCTCTGGTGGGCACCCCCTTGGAGGCAGCCCCTGGCTTCTCTCCTCTGGACCACCTCTGAGTGGGTACCTGTAAGAGGAAGTGGGCCTGGGAAGTAGGGACCACCTGTTCGTCCAAAGGAAAAATGGGCACAAATCACCAAACCCATCTCTAATTATTGGTAAAAAGAATAAAACTGTTTCATTTTACTTACAAGTATGAATAGATCAACTGCAAACTCATTAACAACATGACTGCTTTTAACAACTCTGCTTCGATATGCTTTAACAGACGTTTTCTACCAACCACCATCAGTGGACATTAACAAACACTCTTAAGGAAAAAGAACTCTCTCAGCAGAGAGGTGGGACTCTCTTTGAATTCTGACACATGAGACAGAACTATTGGTTAATCCTGGTTGATTGGCAGCCCCTCCCAGTCAAACAAGCTAGAGGGCAGTCTGCGAGGTTGCAGGAAACGCCAACTGATTCAAGCGCCATTCTTTCTTGGACGGGGGCATCCTTCCGAAGCGGTGCATGTTTTGCCTTGGAGAGCTTTTTGCACAGGGACGAATGAGCCATTTTGTCTTGAATCCCTTTCCTTTCCTGCTGTGGATGATGGGATTCATAGTCCTAGGCCCATATGAAAGGACTGGCCAGGGCTCCTGTAGCATCTGCTGATGCCTGTCCTTTCCCCGCTCAAAATTCAGTCATTGAACTTTGGCCAGTCTGACCGTTAGGCAGCGTGAAGCATCCCCTTGGGGTGTCAGATGCTAAGAGACTGCAGAGGTGGCCTTCTGAATGTTTCCGTGTCAGCAGCATTGGGGTATGTGGGAGAGGGACACAGCTTGCCTTGACTTCCCAGTGAATGAGCCTGCTACCCCTTTTGTTTGGGAGAGAAGGCTGCCTCGGTTGGCTTAAGCCCGAGAAGTGGGGATGACGTCTCACCCTTTGCCTCAAGCCGCAGAACGCGGGCGTTTAGAAAACAGACGCCTGGCACAGAGGTGCCTCGCTTCGAATAGCGTCCATCTCCTTCCTTTCCTTGGCAGGTCCAGTTCGCTCTCCACAGAGAGTGGCATCGCCACTCCAGAAAGCCAACGAGGAGAGCCTGGGTCAGATTCAGACCCTGCAAGGTAAGGCGCTGGGGTGGGCGGCCTTTTGTGGTTTCACGTTCCAAGTTGCAGCCCACGAAGACGAGTCCCTAGCGGGGCTTCCTTGTGAGTAGGCCTTGGTAAGATCGGTGCTTGAGGGACACATTCGTATCACAGGATGCCATCAAGAGCAGAGCAGTGGTGGGAAAAGGGGCGTGCTGGCAATGGGATTCTGGAGGCGGCAATCCAAAAAAAAAGGAAGGTTTTTCTGAGTTGTTCTTCTTGACAAAGACTGGACAACGTGTGCCCTGCCCTATATGTGCATTTCCTTCTGGCTGTTTTAGCCTCCTTTCAGGATGCTAACCATCATTGGCAAAACCAAAACCAAAAAATAAAAAAAAACCCATCCACAAACCAGCCTCACTCTGCATTAAAACCAAGCATGGGAAGAATCTGCACCTTGTTCGAAAGCCCTCCCAAACAAGGTGCATGCTCCCAGCACGCCATCTTTAAATAAGTGGCTGTTTTAAATGCAAAAATGGAATGTTTTTTTCACCAACGCAAGAGTATTGGTAGGGTGTGTGTGGCTGCTTAGATGGTTAAGGCCATCTGTCTTCAAAGGGGTTCACGCCAAATGCATTTGGACGGCATCCCTAGCTGCTAAACTATCTAAACTAAAAAGAAAAACCATATAATATATTATTTATCAATTATGATTTCTGCACATTCAAGAAGTTGACTCCCCGAGTCTCCCGTCGTACGTGTTTTTAAACTGTTGTTTTCCTCCTTGTTCAAGTTTATTATGACTCCCCATACATTTTTTTTTGCATTTTAAAGTGGCGAAAATGGGGGACAGTATCGGCCACTGCTAGTTGCCTGTGTGGACCCATATCATAAAAAAATAGCTACACTTCAATGCTTTAAACATATATATTTAAAAGTACTTTTAAAAAGATATTTCAGAGTACAGTATAGTTTTGTGTGTGTGAGAGAGATTCTCTACATCCCTTCTGTTCTTAATATGTTATTGTTTTATATTTAGTAACTTACGAACTCTATGCCTACTCTCTCTACTGTTTGCAGGCCTTTTTAGTTAGTGTCTCTTGTTATTGCGATAGGCAAGCCTTTGACATGGGAGGTAAATAAGAACGTTCAACATATATTAGGGACGTCGTTTCTTTTCAAATTGATAATAAGTATCCTGAATAATTACTTTGTGAGATGTGTCCTGTTAGTTTGCCAGTTTTTTCTCTCTCCACTCATTCTGAAAGAAAAGCCACCTGCGTTTGGGTAGCTGATTGGACTGTGCCATGTATAAGGACGTGATTAGGACTCGTTATATCATGTCTTTGATCCATTGCCTGCTCTTCTCCGGTTTCTTGTGGCTTCGTCCTCTCCCCTCACTTCTTCAAAATGGATGCCAGGGGCTCTTACATTTTCTTGACTTCAGCATCCATGAGTAAATGCTTACTTTGGATATATCTGAATTAATTCCAAATAGCCAAACATTCCTTCGAGTAGGACTCGGACTCTGATAGACACTTTTTTATTGAACATGTTTCATGGAAGATGATCTGTTTGGCTATTTCGGCTGTTCTTGTTCCTCTTAGGGTGCTTTATATACTTCCTTTCTCTACATGGCCTCCAATCCATCTAAAAGTCGTTGTGATGGCACCATTGAAAACAACAGGCGTTGAGGTCATGGTGGATCCCTTATTCCATTTCTTTTTAAAACGGACTTAATAGCTGGATTGGGATCATTTCGAGTGTTGCATCCTTCCTTTCTAAACATTTCCTCTTCCCTTTAATGAGTTATGGACTTCCTCCTTTCTTATCTATCTATTTTAATCCTAAACATAATTTACTTGGATGCAAGATGCATTGGTTTCTACTGAATTTATTCCCAAGTAGGTGTACTCAGAACATCAGCCTTTGAGTTCTTATTCTTCCTTTGTATGACGACAGTTTGTACCTTCACAAACTATTGGGTCTTATTTCTCCAAGCCTAGCCAGATGCTGTGAGTCTTCTTCTCAGTCATCTGCTTTACACCTGGAGAATAGTCTCTATCCTCTTATCTACTGTCACTTTTTGATACCTGCTAAGCTTCGCAAAGAACCTCACAATCACTTGAGTTTTGGACGCTATCTGTACCCTTTTTCTTCAATGTGAATGTGATGCTTTGGGATTTTGTTTACCTGTATCACGGGTTAAACCAAAATCCTCCACATTCATGGAGCTAAAGAGCCATCACAAGGATCCTCTGAGAGATCTTACTGCCTGATGACAATGAGGATTTCTTTTATACTCTCCAGAGGGTTTACTTATGGCATGTCAAAGACCAGTCTTAGGACACTAAGCTATGTGGACAACCCAGTTTCCAACTCCAGTGTGATGGAGAGTGGTCGTAGTGCAACACTGTCCCGTCTGGGCCACCAAGCTAACAATACCACCAGGTCATCACAAACTGATTTCGGCACCCCTTCCTTTCTGTACAACCCACGGTACGACGCCAACACATTGGAGAGAAGCCGTAGGCAACCATCACACCACAGCAATTGGGCGTCCAGTTTTGGAAGGTACAGTGACCCATTTTTTAAAAATATATATTTCAAAATGAAGCATTAAGCACTTAGCAAAGTGACATAAAATTAACCTTAGCTAAACTTTTAACTAACCTTTAAAGGTAAAGGTTCCCCTTGACAAAAAATATATATTTCAAAATGAAGTATTAAGCACTTAGCAAAGCGTCATAAAAGTAGGATAACTAACCTTAAAATCTCTCAATTAAGTCACATCCATTTCAGTGTCTTAATTGCTAAAGCATCAGAAGTAACATGATCTCATCACATATATTTCTATATTCTTATAAAAATCTTCACCACCCTCATTCCCAACCAACAGGTTCTCTCTTCTCATCCTTTGCTCCTTGCCTAAACTGTATTTTTGGGTGGTTTTTGTTTTTTTTACATTTCTCTGACTTATTTATTTTTTAATATCTTCAACTGTCAACCTCTGAGGTCCACTGGTAGACCAAACTACTAACCTTTACTTTAATTTTCTAAGGAAAAACACATTGGTTGTTGTGGGTTTTTCGGGCTCTTTGGCCAACTAACTTTAAAATCTCTCAATTCATATCTATTTCAATGTCTTAATTGCTAAAACATCAGCAGTAACATGATCTCCTCACATATATTTCTATATTCTTATACAGGTTCTCTCTTCTCATCCTTTGCTCCTTTCCTAAACTGTCTTTTCGTGTGTTTTTTAAAAACATTTCTCTTACTTATTTATTTTTTAATTTCTTCAACTGTCAACCTCTGAGGTCCGCTGGTAAACCAAACTACTAACCTTTACTTAAATTTTCTAAGGAAAAACACGTTGGTTGTTGTGGGTTTTTCGGGCTCTTTGGCCATGTTCTGAAGGTTGTTCTTCCTAACGTTTCGCCCGTCTCTGTGGTCGGCCTGTTCAGAGGACAGGAGTAGCAGAGGACAGTGCTATTCCTGTCCTCTGAAGATGCTGGCCACAGAGACTGGCAAAACGTTAGGAAGAACAACCTTCAGAACACGGCCAAAGAGCTCGAAAAACCCACCACAACCATCAGATCCTGGCCATGAAAGCCTTCACAAATACATGAAAAACACATTGCTTTTGCTTCCCTTACAAGCTCCTAAAGGAGCACTTTGTTGTTTATATTCTGACTGGTTTCCTTCAAGAGGAATAGAGCAAACTCATATGAGAACAGGGAACCAGACTAGTTCCATATCAATCTCTTGATTTTCCCTACACCTTTAAACTGGCTGGTTTAGTGGGCTGCTTTTTGCAAGCGGCTCATGGACCGGGCTTTGCTAGGTAAGCAGAGTGCCATCTTGTGGGTATTTTAAGACATTGTTATCTATATCCTAACATTTCACGTGTTATAGCAGGCTTGTCCAACCTGTGGACCGTGGGCCACACGCGGCCCAGGTCAGTTCGTAATGCGGCACACTGCAATTTTTTATTTTTAAAGAAATTCCAAAGTTTCAAGTTACACTGCTGGCGCTTGCGGCCGGAATGCGGCCAGGGCACGTCACAATGGTGGTGGTGGTGAGAGAGGGAAAGAAGGAAGGAGTGGGAGGGGAGGGGAGAGGGGGGTTGTGTGACTGCATTGTGCCATCCCCGTCAGAAGGTGGACCCCCTCCCGGCCCCATAAAGCCACCAGAGGCGAAGCTGGCCGCCTCTGCTGTCTGAGATCACAGCTGTCGGTAAGCGCGCTTGGAGCGGGGCTGCAGAGGACAGCTAGGGCTGCCCCTCCCATGCGGCCCAAACCAAATTTATGTGCGGCCCAAACCAAATTTTCATCTTCTAATGTGGCCCAGGGAAGGTGAAAGGTTGGACACCCCTTGTGTTATAGGCCAGGCAAATACTCATTTCAGTGTTTTTGCACGTACTGTATTTCCAGCCTCAGCAAAGATATTTCTTCAGAACAGGGTGAGCTTGCATCACAGTCCTCTGTTTGAAGGGCTATCAAGTCTAGATCTTTTTAAAAGGTAAACAACCATGAGAAGGGAGCGAAGAGGTCTTGGTGTTCACTCGTTTAGGGCTTGGGCAGAGGGTCAAACAGCCACCCAGGTCATCTGAGCAGCCTTGACTCACTGTGATAAGATAGGTAGTACTTGTGTTTAAATGATAGCAGTGATGTCTAGATTCGCATCAATCTGTATACATTAGTACATGCAAGAATTCTACAAATCTATCTTCTGTTTTTCAGTGGTGGGTTCCCTCTTGGTTTGGTAATGTGTTAAGTGACCGTTCCAAAGGAACTCTGTTCAATTGTATCCAACTGTATTGTGGGTTGGGACAGCGACCGAGCAATGGATTTTTCACTATTAAGGGGGTCCCTGCCCTCGTGCGAAGCTCCCAAAGGCTTCCCTGCAGCAAAATAGAGAGCTGAGGGACACAGGTGGGCATGAAATGAACCACAAACAAAACAAAAAACCCCAATGAACTGGGCCGGTTCATTTCACAATTCGGTTCGGGGATCCCGTTTCGTCAAAGAAAAACGAAACTCTGAACTTTTTTTCCCCATTGGTGTTTTGTTTGCTTTGGCAAAAGGGGAACTCTGCCCACCCCCTTCCCTGGATGGATGGATGGATGGATGGATGGATGGATGGATGGATGGATGGATGGATGGATCGATGGATCGATGGATGGATGGATGGATGGATTTTTACCCCACCTCTCTCCTTTTAAAAAAAAGGACCCAAGGCTTAAACTGATGAATTCCATTGCCCAGAACCAGTTTATGTGGGCATATCTACACAATGAGGATTTTGCCGTATGTGGGGAGGTCAATCCTGTCTTTGAAATACTCAAAATGAGCTCTGCTAGTTTACGTGTATCACTGAAGATTCCTGCACGTGTATTTTAAGGATGTTGTCTCCTCTGTCCTTCTTGCTCTCTTGTTGACCCTCTGGCTGTTTTCTGTTTTGTTTTTCCCTTAGTCGGGCTTACTATCCATTCAGAGATGGCCCGATGTCTGGCTCCCCAAGAAGCCACAGGATGCCCTTCTATCAGGACACCTGTGATCCAGAGAGCAAAAGGTAGTGACATGTTTAATAATATTAGTTGGGAATGTAATTCATTCAGAGTTTGGAAGAGTTATTACTCTTTTGGTCTCATCTGAAGCCAAGTGTGGGTGAGATCGTTCTTCTTCATCATCATCATCATCATCAATGTCTGGCTCCCCAAGAAGCCACAGGATGCCCTTCTATCAGGACACCTGTGATCCAGAGAGCAAAAGGTAGTGACATGTTTAATAATATTAGTTGGGAATGTAATTCATTCAGAGTTTGGAAGAGTTATTACTCTTTTGGTCTCATCTGAAGCCAAGTGTGGGTGAGATCGTTCTTCTTCATCATCATCATCATCATCACATCAACCGTTCATCATCATCATAATCCTCATATGACATCAAGTCAATTCTGACTCATGATGACCCTTTTCAGGAGTACCAAGATATAGAACGTTCAGAAGTGGTTTACCATTCCTTTCTGCACTCTGCAACTGTGCAGCTTTATTAAGGTCCAAGCCAGTGACATCACTGTCCATGCTGGCAGGGAGATTCTTGTGGCTGAGTGTGTCAAACGGTATCTTTTTCAACCTTCGAATTAGGGAGGTGAATTTTGGCTTGTCTCATCCTTGCACAAAGTAATGAAAAACATCACGAACATTTCTCTTTGCCAAAAAGGGGGTTCCCATTTCTTTCAGTAAGGTTGTATGCATCTGCAAATTTGATTTTTTCCACAAAGCCACTACCTTTTGGCATAGATTTTAAAAACGACAGAAGCATTGGGTGGCTTGTTCGCAACTCATTGATGAAGCCACCTGTCCTTCTGCGCTTGATGTGTGTGCGCTCAGCCTCACAAAGGGAGAAGACCCAGAGGCACAGTCTGCTAATTTCTCACTCTCACAGCGGAGGCAAGGATTCTCAATGAGAAGAATTATTCATAGCTGGATTAAGAACTCCAAAAGTTCTAAACTGTACATACCATATTTTTCTGTGTATAAGACTACACTTTTGTCTAAAATCTTTAGACTAAAAATTGAGGTTTGTCTTATACACGGAAGTAAGCTGAGGCGAGAAGAGGAAGGGAAAGCAGGGATCAAAGCGATCCTGCAGCGCTTTGATCCCTTTCCCTCTACACTTGCTAAGCCCCAGTTATTTTTCTTAATTTTGGATTAGAAAAGTGGGGGCGTCTTATACATGGGGGCATCTTATACATGGAAAAATACAGTATTTTAGATGCATATGCAAACTGGCAGTTTTGGACTGTTCTTTAAGTCTTGATGAAAACAGAAAAACACTGGCACTTTTGAAGGTTCATTGAATAGATGGATGCGGCCTGAGCCACTATGGTAAAAGGGAGCATGCAGACGCTCCTACATATTGTGAGCCCCTTCAATCCAGTTTGATATGGTTCCTTTTGAAGCCTGGTGGTGTACATATGGCCAGTGCTCCTTCCCTGTGGCAGTGGGGCTACTATGACCCAGATACCCTGGGGGAGTTTTAGCCTCCCTACGCTGAAAATGGCAGGCAGGAATGGAAAACAATGAAAGCTGCAACTGTTCTCCTGCAAAGGAAAACTGCCGCAGGCTGGCATAAGCTCCTTCTCTGATGGGACAATCTATTGTTGGAACAATACAGGATGTGACATGCCATGGTGATAGCTGGTGATGTGAAATTCATGAAATAATTAACCATTGCCTATTGTTGAGTTGATTCTGACTTAGGGTGACCTTTTGCGGGGTTTTCTAGGTATAGCGTAGTCAGAAATGGTTTATACAGTATTTCTTTCTTCTGGGGTTGCCCTGGGACTGTGCAGCTGGCCCAAGGCCACCCAGGCTGGCTCTTCTGCCAGGAGAAACAGTGAGGAACTGAATGTCCAACTTCCGGCTCCGCAGCCGCCAGACACATCATTCACTGCGCTATCCAGCCAGTCAGAAATTTTCATTCAAACATTTGCTTATTTGGCCAAAAGGGGAGGGGAAAAAAAGTGAACAACTCTCATCACGTCAAATGACCACAAATAAATTTACAAATATGTTGTATGCAGCCAATTTCCAATCTAGTTCAAGGCTTCATTGCCAAAAAGAGTACTTACCAATGTTTGGGATGGCTCTTGCTCTCTGAAGACCTAACCCATAGCTCGCTTAATTTATATCCCGCCCTGCCCTCTGAATAACCAAGGATAGGTGAAAAGAGGAAGGCCAGGTCATGTGACATCCATAGCTTGGTTTTCCCCAAGATGATAATGACCAGGCAGGGCTCAAGAAGGATGGCTACAAAGCTGTCACTACTTCTCTCCAGCATCTGCTAACTCAGGCCATTGCTTCACTCTGCCTAATGATCTGGCCAACCCTGTGCATTACTTTTGTGTTGTGGCTTATTCTCAAAAGATACTGTCTGGCCTGAGGGCATTTTGGGACCTCTGCAGGTGGTGCTCGAGTTCATTCATACATTTGTTTATTTGCCCAAAGCAAAACAAAAAAAAAAAAACCAAAACAGGCAGCTCCCATCACATCAAAGGATCACGAATAAACGTAGTGTGCTGTAGACCATCAGAATGACACAATAGATAAACACCAGATAAGGGTTTCAAACCCATCCAGTTTGGGATGGATCAGTACAGATAAAACAATCTCTTCACCCAAGGGCTTTGAACCAAACGGAAAAGAGAATAAATGATGACACACAAACGGGACAATCAACCCAAGTTAGAACTTCATGTGAGAAGCAAGGGCTTACTCCGGCTTAATTTTCTCCCTGATGTGCTAGTTTTCTATATGCTGGCAGTTTGTTATGCAAGGGAGCATCTAGGCTGCAGTCTGAACTGAGACACTCATAGGAGTCTGCACAATTTACCTGGGACACTGAAGGTTTTTATACAAAGAGGGGAACCAGTTGGAATCTCTGATCTTTAACACACGTTCTCTGTCCCAGATCTTGGAACAGTTCCTTTTTCAGGAATCCCCCAGCCTGCATGTCTATAGGCCAAGGTGTTTGGGAGGTCTAAAAAACCTCCAAAAAACCCCCAAATTCCACTCTGTTCACCACATTTCCTCCCTTTTGCAAGGCATTCGAGGGAATCCTTGCCCCCCCCACTATGACTCAGATAAACCCTGTACCTCAAGGAGGCAGAAGATAGAGGAGGTCTCTTTTCTCGTTGCTGTAACTTTCAAGGCACACATCATCACACTGCACACGAATAAATGCAACTGCTGTCTAATATGTTTACAGTATTAGAAGTTAGCTTTCATATTTTATTCTCGGGAGCCCAGGGCAGCAGACATGTTTCCCTTCCTCCATTCTAGGCTCACAACGAACCTATGAGTTGGATGAGGGTCAAGGGGATACTAAGTTAGCCCATTGGGGCACTGAAAAGTTACTTTTTTGACCAACAGTGCCCAGAATCCCCCCACCAGCCGTGCCAATGACTGCTGGGAGCTGGAATGGAAAGCATTTGTGCATGGAGGCAGAACAATCAGCCTTTGGCATTATACAACTCATAGGATCCCGGGCTGGCTACAAGTGCCTGGGAGTTGTAGTCCAAGAATGTAACTTTTCCAAACTGTAGCATCTACATGAAGGGTAAAGGGGTTCTGTCCAATGGCTTTATATACATGCATGTCTAGCGCTATGCCACTTTCCGTTGCCCCATCCACATCATAAGACCAAAAGCCTGGCCAGTCCGGCTTTTAAGCCAGCTCTCTGCTCTTGGTCTCATCTCATGCCAGATTCTCTCTTATTCTTTCCTGCTGATCTATAGCAAAGGCCTCCTTTTTGTGAAGGAGTCCGTTAACAGCACCGAATTATCCTCCTCGCCGCGTTACAACAGGTAAGGCAATGCAATGCAGAGGGGTTGGGTGATGATCTCTATTGTACATAAATTCATGATGGTTCTAAACTCATGGCAGTCTTGATGAATCCATGGGCGAGATTTTGTTTCTGAGTCTCTTCTGCGGTGGTCCTTTGCCCCTGTCTCCCCCCTTTCAACTTGGGAGAGGGGCATGAAGGCTCCTCAAATGCTTTGATGTCGTGAAGAAGAGAAGTCAGGGGTGTAGGTGGAAAGAAAGGGGTAGATAAATTTGGCCTTCCAGATGTTTTGTGTCACAGCTGTCATGATCCCCATGCCATGATGGGTCACGCTGGAGAGTCAAATGGCTGAAGAATGGCTCAGAAGATCCAACAGGCTTTCTTTCCCTTCTTTTTCTCTTTTCATCTTCTTTGTTTCTACCTTTTCATCCATTTTTTTGCAAATGGCATCCACTTCAGGCTGTTGAGGACAGGATGTTTGGAGAGCACCCATTTATAGGGTCGCCATGAGTCGGAGGTGACTTGCTGGCCCAGAACAACAATGCAGATGAAGTCAGTCATGGCCCTTCCCATTTCTTAGATGACGTCTGAGCTCTTACCATGCTCCTTTTAAAAGTCTTGCTTTTTTCCCCCCTTCTACCTCTAGTCGCAGCCTGGTTGATTTGTCTGAACTTGAGAAATTAAGCCGGAGCAGTGCCAGCTATCTGAATAGCAGCCCCCCAAAAAGGTATGAACATTTCTCATTCTGTAGAGCTGTTCCTGGTTAAATGTCTTTCAGAGAAGCCTTCCAAACTAGACAAATGTCGTAGGGCCCGCTTATCCTTGGGATCAGGATCCACGGATTCACTTACCCACAGTCTGAAGGTAGGGTCTGCTTATCCTTGGGATCAGGATCTTAAAAACATTAAAAGAAAAACCCTAGAAATATATATTTCTAAAGATGACGTTATCAGAACTGGCCACTAGAGCGAGCCAGAGGCTATGTATAGCATTCACTATTAAAATAGCATTTCCTATCATCTGCATTTTCCAGTATCTGCAGTTGCTTGGAACAGATACGGGGGTCCTGTTGTAATAACAAAATGACATGTAAGCAATAATTATTCCACAGGAATGACCTCTCGTCCTTTAGGGCAAAGTAGCACATTTATTCCACTATCTGGCTCATTAAGATGTAATACGGCATTATCTCCATTATGGAGGGTGTTTGAAAGGAAGAACAAAGTAGATCTTGTTAGCAGATGTTTGCAGCTGCACTGAGGAATTTATTTCATAATATTCTTGTTTCGATTGATGTTTCTGTTCTGGATGTCTCTGGAGTTGCTCTGGGGGCCAGGTTTCCAATCACCACGATCCTTTTCGGTCTCTTCCACAAGGAGGCATGGCCATGTTGAAAGGGAAGGGGTGTTTGTAGGTGGGAAACATGATGGAGAACTTGTTTGCTCCCCTTCGGCTCACCCACGACTCCCTTCTCCCTTCACCGCAGGACCCCGGAGGACCTCTGCACTTACTGTGGCCGTGAAATCCGCAACTGTGCTAAGATAACCATCAACAACCTCCGAATCTGCTGCCATGACTATTGTTTCCGGGTAAGGCAATTCTAAAGCGAGGAAAAAGTTGGGAGGGAATGAGAGTGGAGCCCTTCCGCACAGGAGTGGGTCCACAGACGGTCGGTTTCGCTCAGCGTTCTCTTCCCTTGTTGGACCCCGAGAAGCATCTGGGAAACCCATAAGGAGGACATGAGTGCAAATTCACCCTACTGCTCCTTTGTGGGGGCAACACAAATGAAGAAAGGCGAATTGCAGGATAAACAACAACCGTTGTGTCTTTTTCATAAAGCTTGATTAAACAAGCGAGAGTGCAGAGACGGCATTGCAGAAATACCCTAGAATGGGCCCTATTGTAATATTTTTCAAAAATGCAATTACAGAATTATACTAGGAACATATCTGTGTGACAAGGGGATTAGCCACAAGGCTCTCGTTTCAACTCCACTGTGTTCCTCCTGCCCCCAAATTGTGCTCCCTGAAAATGCTTCTAGCATCCCCAAGTATGACGCTTGAGTCTGGAAGCCTGGTTATCTGTCCAACATAGACAGGTGATCAAACCTTCCCTTTTGGGCTTTTCACCCAGTGGTGTAAAGGATCCAGGATCCTCCAGACTCAGGCTTTCCTGCTGTCTGCCAGCTTAACTGCACTCCTCACAGCAGCTAAGACAGAAATAGATTTCCCGAAGAACAATATAATGTTGCAACCTACCCCTGATGCAATGCAAAGCATTTGAGGATAGGGGTTAAACTGCAGTACTGCAGTCAAGGCTGTAGTCACAACCTGAGTTCAATCCCAACAAGCTGAGGTGGTTGGCTTGGGGTTGACTCCACCTTCCATTCTTCTGAGGTCAGTAAATTGAGTACCTAGCTCACAGTGTGGAGTGGGGGGTCAATGTGTTGCCTGCATATTTAAATTGTAAACTTCTCAGAGAGTGCTTTAAGCCCTACAGGGCAGTATATAACCAGCACGCTTCCCTGTAGTGCTGAATGGGCCAGCAAGAGCCGTTAACTTCACAAGAGACCTGCTTTTGACTGACTGATATGAAGTGCTGTAGCTGCCTGCAGTTTTTGGACTTTCCTGGAGGGTGAGGCGTTAGCTATGGGGACTGTTGCGACTTGCGAGGAGCCCTTGAATTTTGAAGTGTATTAGACATCCCAGGTTGCATCCCAGGGAGGAGGGGGGAAGCTCTGTAGTGTAACATGTGCTTTGCATGCAGAAATTCCCGGGAGGACGGCTTGACCCAGTTTGCCGTGGATTCCTATATGCCCCCGTGCGCTGAAACTTGTCACTTTCCCCCCCCTGTCCGCAGTGTGGAATCTGCCACAAGCCAATGGGAGATCTCTTGGATAAAATCTTCATTCATCGGGACATCGTCCACTGCGACAAATGCTATGAAAAGCTCTTCTAGGTGAGTGGGCCATATTTTTTTTTTGGCATAGAAATAGAAAGAGAGTGGAGGAGCCGGAGAAGGAGGCAGAGAAGAGGGATCCACCAGGGAAATTGTAGATTCATCCCAGGACGGTGCGATTCAGACATATGGGACATAGCTATGCTGACAGGGGATGGTAGGAACTGTAGTCTAACTGATTTCAAGAGGAGTCACTGGTCTAAATGAAGGTTGGTACAGAACACATGGGTATGAAACCTGTGGTCTATAAGTGGCCCCTTCTACCCCACCCAAAATGTAGCAGTTTGAGGGAGAGAAATGACTCATAAATTCCCTTTGTGCCCTCGAGGGGGGGGGGCTAGAAGCAATTTTGCTGTATTTTAAGGGCCAGTACTTTTATCTGCACCACACTCTTATTTTTTAAAATATATATTTATGGCCTCTAGGGGGCACCAGAGGACTTTTTTTGCAACACCTTGGTTTTTTTGGGGTGTGTTTATGTGTGTGTGGGTGTCCCTGGACCTCTGGAGGTTGCCCACCCCACCCATTATCTCTCCAATTATCTTCTAGGATGACCTGTCTTGGAAGAGCCAGGCCAAAAGGAAGCTTGTCAACAGCCATGTGACCAGAGATGATCCCAATGCCTTCTGACGCAGCAAATAACTTGATCTCTCTCCAGTTACTTCTCTTCTGCCACTCTTTCTCTAGTGCAAACTCTTCATACCCAGAAGGGGTTCAGTTAGGCAGTCTCTGCTTACAGCTTCCTTATGTCTGTACATGACTTGACCTTGCATTGCCCATTTCCTTGCTTCTGGATAGCTTCAATTATTGCAAACCACCACCCCCCGATAAACCACCCCTGGCGCTCATTCTGTTGACGATGTTCCCCAGAATAAATAAGCGAAAATCATCCTGGTTACTGATGAAAACAAAGGAGCACAAGATCATGGTGGCCAGAACACCTTGGAAAAATTGCATTTTGGGCAATGAATTCCACAATCCCCAGTTGGCATGGTGTCTAGGGATTCTGGGCAATGTAGTCCAAAAAGTACATTCTCCTGTCTCTGGAGCTCAGAGTCCAAAATGTAGAAGTTGGATAAGTTACTTTTTTTTTTTTAAAAAAAAGGATACAGATCCCCATTCCCTGAAGCTGCTTGGTCTCTAGACTTGATGGCTGCATGTTTTCTGGAAGCTGCAGTCTTAAAAAAAATCTAAGCTCTCCAAGCACTGCTAAACCTATTTATTTACTGGTGCTGCTGGTACCTTTGCTCCATAAAGAGACACTAGCATGGTCTATACCAGAGTACTTGTCCCCAAATAGGTCTTCTCGAATGCTGCAATACAGGGATGAGGCCGGAGGTGACACCCAAGTTGATCAGGGCAGTTGCGGTAGTGGTGGGGAACCCCTTAACCCTATCCTGGCAAGCTCAGCTCTAGATTGGTCGACCAGACCAGATGGGCAGGATATAAATCAAATAAATAAATTTAAAAAAATAGATCACAATTGCCCATCCAAACGACATCAGATGGCTTGTGTCAGATCATTAAGGAAACCTCAGTAGATAATAATCATGTGCCATCAACTCAATTCTGTCTTACGGTGACCCTTTCCAAGGTATTCCATGTAGATAGTGGTTTTTCATCCCGTTCTCTGGGTGGGTGGGGGTGCCCTGGGACTGTGCAGCTTGCCCAAAGCTACACAGGCTGGCTCTTCTCCTCGGAGGCCCAGCGAGGAATCAAACTCCCAACCTCTGGCTCGGCAGCCAGAGACCTAACTCACTAAGCTATTCAGTGAGCTTGGCATTAAGATATGGGAATGTAATTCCCACCATCCACAGTCATCATTCTTGGTCGAAGAGCGGCCGATCTGAGAACACTGTTTTGGGTGTGTTTGTTTTTCTTTTGCCTACTTCCAGTCAAAAGACAGCTATTTTAAGCTCTCACTCCTTTTAGGATCCCCTAAAAGAGACCTAAACCACTGAATTATGGAGCCAGCTCTAATAACTGTGAGCCATCCATTCAAAAAGGGGAGGGGGGAAATCCCTGGAGTGATAGAAAAACATGAGTTTCTAGTGGAATATGTATACACAAGAAACCTCAAGTCTGACCAGTAAGGGTCCTTACTTTGAAAATTATGGAGTGAGGTTCCCCCCTTCACTCAATTCACACATTACAAGCTCACTCTGGGACGCTATCTGGGCGAACCTCATCCCGTTGCAAAATTAACCCACTGCAGTGATGGGGCAGGGCAATCAATCCCATGATGGCTCTTTCGTTGTTCATGATTGGCTTGGGGTTCAGGTCACCATCCCCAAATTCTTGCAGAGTTCTTGGGAAGAGGAATGAGATTTGGAGGATTACCAAAAAAAGCAAGCCAAGGTGAAAACTTCTATGAAAGTAAGCATTCATGCCTAGTTTCAAGGCAGTAGTAAAAAAAATATTGACTTCTGGTAGGGGAGCCTTTTAAAGATTCCTTTAGTTACAAACATCACCTTTCCCATTACTCATTCTTAGTGTGGAATGATTGTAGATTAACTCTCATGTGATAAAATAGCTGGCCTGGCTGCTTTTAGCAAGATCTTTTGCTAATCCTTTGTCAATATTTACTTTCTAGGCTGACTTCCTTTACACAGGCTTTCAACTCTCCTGTAATATCGGAGACCTAATTTTACTGAGCAACGGGTGGCATTTCAGGGGCTAGGTGAATTTCAAGGTCATTATAAACTGCTAGGGGGACAGGAGCTTTCATAGACGCAGGTGAGCGGCGGGTGGTTGTGTGCCTGCATCCATTTGGCTGATTATGCTGATCTGTTTTCTGCGAACAAACCCTTTACCGCCGCACTCGAACCTAATAAAAGTTACTTGCAGAAAGTTTGCTTGAGTTCTTGATTCAGCGATCCGTGGAGTGGATTTCCTAGTGCCCAGAGGTTTAAAAGGTACATGTGCCATTCATAGAATTTTAGAGTTGGCACATTGAGGCACAGAGTAGATGATTAGTTCTCGCACCCAAACGGTGCATTTGTCACTGTTCTGATCACTAATCATCATCATCATCATCATCATCATCATCATCATCATCATCATCATCATCATCATCATCATCATCATCATCATGTGTCATCAAGTCAATTCTGACTTATGGCTATTCTTTTCAAGGGTTTTCCAGGTAGAGAATACACAATTCCCTTCTTCTGCGGGTGTCCTAGGACTGTGCAGCTGGCCCAAGGCCACACAGGTTGGCTCTATTCGTAGGAGGAAGAATGGGGAATCGAACTCCCAACCACTGGCTCCCCAGCCAGAGACCTAAACCACTGAATTATGGAGCCAGCTCTAATAACTGTGAGCCGTCCATTCAAATCTGACTTACGGTGGCCCTTTTTCAGGGTTTTCCAGGTAGAGAATACTCAGAGGTGTTTTACCCTTCCCTTCCTCTAGGGGCAGCCTTGGGACTGTGCAGCTGGCCCAAGGCCACCCAGGCTGGCTCTACTCCCAGGAGGCACAGAGTGGAACTGAGCTATCCAGCCCGCTCTCCAACTACTAAGAACAAGCAGAAAGATGCCATTTTAGAATAGTGGTCACGAAGCTGAGTGGATGGGGTTGACACAGCAGAACAGGTGGAGGGGAGATGTCACCTTTCTGTGTAGCGGTGAACCACTGTTGCCATTGTGCCTCACCAAGCCCTCCCCGGAGGTGCAAGGAATTGAACTTGGGCCCTTCTGAATGCAAAGCATATGCTATTCCACCAAACTACAGCTCCTTTCCTTGGAAATGGACACCTCAGTGGACGTTTAAAGGTGGCTTTCATGTTGCATGCTGCGATAAAGGTCTCTCCTACGTAGGTCTGAAATTAAAAGCCACTGGCCTGTCAGAATTCATCAAACCAGGAGACTAGTTTTCTGTTCTTTGATGTCCTCTGTTCTTTGAGCCATGCCAAAAGAATAAAATAAACAGAAGGATTCACACACAATAGGACAGCAGAGGGGCTGGGTGGCTTTGGTGGCTGATGCTGCCTGGAGGAAAAATATAGGCTGAATATCCCAGCTCTAGTGAGCTGTGTAAATCCCCCCCCCACCCCAAGTTACAGGGAAGTGAATTCCCAGGATATTCCTGGGCTATGCAATTTATGCAAATTGTGCTTTGTTGTTGTTGTTTAGTCGTTAAGTCCTGACCCCATGGACCAGAGCACGCCAGGCCCTCCTGTCTTCCACTGCCTCCTGGAGTTTGAAATTTTGCTTTACAGAATAATTAAGACACTCCTGGGAGGAACACAGCTCAAAAGAAGCCTTGCAGGCAACCGTCTGCTGCTTTATCAGATGTGAGACGCACAGAATTCTTGCTAGGATACACCAGAAAGTGGATTCTCAATTACACATCGCTAAAAGAGAGGACGAACAAGGGCACTGGGTTTGTGTGAAATTGCACGTGCTAATTTATATGTATGGATGCAAAATTGGTAGTAATTTTTACAGTGTAAGAAAATGAAACTCACTCTCGTGGGAAGATCGGCCGAGGGAGTTGTTTGGCGGTTGCTAGTCTTGCACAGGTGCTAACTATGGATCATCATCATCTCAGAACTGCAGAGCTGAAAGGGACCCTATAAATCAGGGGTTCTTAACCTTTTATTTACCATGAACCCCCTTTAAATATCTTTTGTTGCTGCGGACCACCAAGATTTAATTCAAGATTTAAAACCCGAAAGTGTCAAATATTTATTTAAAGTTTTTCATGAAGGGTCTCAACGTCAGATATTCCTTTTAAACTTTTTAAGATGACTGGAAGAAGCTTCATTTCGCTTTGAGCAGGATGCAGCCTCGTCAATAGCATCAGTTCTTTTACATTTCAAATTCAGTGATCCTTTCTGAGGCTCAGCCAAAATGTATTGTTACAAAATTCCCTGCAGTAATATCCCACCTATCCATTCTGAAGGAAATCAACTCTTGAGTGTTCACTGGAAGGACAGATCTTGAATTTGAGGCTCCAATGTTTTGGCCATCTCATGAGAAGAGAAGACTCCCTGGAAAAGACTTTGATGTTAGGAAAGTGTGAAGGCAAGAGGAGACGGGGACGACAGAGGAGGAGATGGTTGGACAGTGTCATCGAAGTGACCAACATGAACTTGACCCAACTCTGGGAGGCAGTGGAAGACAGGAGGGCCTGGTGTGCTCTGGTCCTTGGGGTCACGAAGAGTCGGACACGACTTTACAACTAAACAACAACAAATATCAAAAAGTCACTTTACCGGACTATAAATAAACGGTTTAATTAGCAGAAACTGAAGAAGAAAGACAATCATGAAGTCTGCCTGAATACTCACTCACACTGACACTGGCTGACTCCGACTGCCTCTTCCCACAACTTCTTACTGTCTAGCAGTAGCAAGAAATGTCACGTGCTGTTGCTCAGCCACTCTGCATCTTTCACTTGCATGTTCTCACCGTGTGCAAAAATATCCAACAGTTACTTGCTATCAAACAGTTATTTTCATAACCAGTATTTACTTTTGATTATTTTTAATGGAGGCGATAGGCTAGAAAATCCAAGTTTTATACAAGCAAGCAAGCAAGGTACATTAAGATTTCGTTCTCTCTTTCTTTCTTTTTTTGCTTCCTTCCTTTCATTCATTCTTTTTTAACTGCAAAAGATCCTAACATTTGTTCAAGCCTTCATGGACCCCCTGTGAGGACGTTACAACACCCCCCCATATGTGTGCGTGCGTGCATGCAGACCACAAGTCAACAACCCACGCTATAGATCATCAAGTCCAGTCTCAGGCAGGCACAGTGGGGAATTGAACTCGCAACCTAAACCACTGATCTATCCAGCCGAGCAACTTCAAAGCTTCTGGGCGCACTCTTTATGGTCCTTTCCCTTCAAATCAACTCGAGCCCCCATCCCTGCTACTTTGAGCGCATCCTGAGAGGTCAGGATTCTCTGGAAAGGACAATAATGCTGGAAAAGGTGGAAGGCAGCAGGAGAAGAGGAAGACCCAACACAAGATGGATTGACTCTCTAAGGGAAGCCACAGGCTTGAGTTTGCAAGAGCTGAGCAGGGCAGTTGAGGATGCTACTTTCTGGAGATCACTCATTCATAGGATTGCCATGAGTCAGGGGCAACTTGACAGCACATAACAATAACAATGTCGATGAAATCATCCAATTTGGTCAGTAACATCTGAGCTCTTAGCATATGCTCCTGCCTTCTTTCCTTCTTCCTCTAGTCGCCGTCTGGATGATCTGTCAACAACTACAACCCTGATGGTTAAACCTATGGCTTTCCAGATGTTGCTACACTGCAAACCTTGCCGACCCTGGCTAGCAGAACTAATGGTGAGAATTCCAATCCAACAACATCTGGAAAGTCATATATTCTGCATGCATATGCTACAGATGGAGACTGCAGCCAAGAATGCAGAAGAAAACTGAGATTTCAAAGGGCAGCAATGAAGGAAGATGATGAAATCATCAGGGGTAAGGATGCATCACCAGAGACCAAGGCTGTCCACATACTGTATTCCTGATCACCACATACAGATATGAAAACAGAACAATGATGAAATCCAACAGGAAACACAATGATTCATCGAAAAAGTGGTGCTGGAGGAAAGCTTTGCAGATACCCTGGACTGTCAGAAAGACAAACAAGTGGGTCCTACATCAAATCAAGCCTGAACTATCTCTAGAAGCAAAAATTACAAAACGGAGGCTTGTCATGCTTTGGGCCCCATCCTGAGTCACTGGAAAAGACAATAATGATAGGCAAAAAGTTGAAGGCAGTAGAAAACCAAATATGAGGCAGACTAACTCCATAAAGAAAGCCACGGACATCAGTTGACAAGAGTTGAGCAGGACTGCTGAAGACGAAACCTTCTGGAGGTCACTTGCTTGTAGGGTTGCCAGAAATCAAAGCCAACTTGATAGCATTTAAGAACAACAGAGAACGCTCCTCACAAAGAGGCCAGTTTCACGAGTAGTTGGCAACTGTGCTCACAAGCGTTCAGCTTTCACGCGTCCACACAGTGCCTTTGCACAAGGTTTTAATTCTATCTACCCTTGGATCCACCTGCAAGGTCCTTCCGAACGCTCCTTCTCATGCAATTTCGACTTTGGACCCGCCTCGAGATAGTGAATGCCGCACCTGCTCCGGCTCCCTTGAAGCTATTTGGCAGGGCCAAAAGCAGGGCAATATTTAGGAGCAGCTGACAGAAAGCACGTCCATTGAATGTGTATTTTACACCCTTCTCTCCTCTGTTTTTATTGATCTTCATCGACTTTTGGTACTGTAAAAGTCGCTCTTCTGACCTGCCTGGAGTGCAGGGAGGCATGGCTTTGGAAGGCTGAAGGCAGCAGGGAAAGATGAGGACCCAACACGAGATGGACTGACTCATTCATAGAAACCATGGTCTTGAGTTTGCAAGAACTGAACAGGGCATTTTGGAGGCCACTCATTCCTAGGGTCGCTCGCTCCCACAGAGGACCTGGAGAAGAAAGGTTGCAAAAGGAAGAACAGTCGAGCCTAGCCATCCTTTTCATCTTTCCGCCTTAGAGGGAGGTCGATTTGCATGTCATTTCCATGTCATTTGCATGGCGTCACAGCCATACCCCCACATGCATGCCCACCGGGCACGATCTTCACCCCCTCGATCGCTCGCTCGAGCGCACGCCCGCACTACCACCACCACCGCCTCCTCCTCCTCACTTTTATTCCGTCCCGCAGCCACTGCGCAAGCGCACCACGAGAGAGAGAGCGCGAGCGAGCGAGCGCCC